CTGTTATTAGTGACAAGATAATCTATCAAAGTTTTATACAACTGTTATTAATGACAAAATAATCTATTGAAGTTTTATACAACTGTTATTAGTGACAAGATAATCTATCGAAGTTTTATACAACTGTTATTAGTAATAAGATAATCTATCGAAGTTTTATACAACTGTTATTAGTGACAAGATAATCTATCAAAGTTTTATACAACTGTTATTAATGACAAAATAATCTATTGAAGTTTTATACAACTGTTATTAGTGACAAGATAATCTATCGAGGTTTTATACAACTGTTATTATTGGCAAGATAATCTATCGAAGTTTTATACAACTGTTATTAGTGACAAGATAATCTAATAACAGTTGTATAAAACTTCAATGTATGATGTAGACGGGTAAGTAAATAATGATGTATTACATCCCCTGTATGATGTAGACGGGTAAGTAAATAATGATGTATTACATCCCCTGTATGATGTAGACAGGTAAGTACATATTGATGTATTACATACCCTGTATGATGTAGACGGGTAAGTAAATAATGATGTATTACATCCCCTGTATGATGTAGACAGGTAAGTAAATAATGATGTATTACATACCCTTTATGATGTAGACAGGTAAGTAAATATTGATGTATTACATACCCTGTTATTAAAGCAGTGTTAAAAGTACAAACTTCAAAGATACAGAAATGAATAAAAACCCTATAACCCGAGCACTTTCGAAAAGGTGGACCTTTCTACTTCAGGGGCAAACTGGGAATCAGTTTATAACATCAAACTGAATTATTATTTTTTTCACACTGATAGATTAGAAGATTCAAGTGACTAAATACAAATGAATTAAAATCTAAACAGTATTTAATATATATTAGATGCTCACAATAAGCCTACATTTTCAGAACTCTGAATAAGTCTTTTTTTTACATACAAGATTCGTTTACTTATTACTTGGAAGTTAAATTTCTTTTCATTGCAGTAAAGAAGACAAGAAAGATTCTATTGCAGAACCACTGTATCTTTTAGTTGGAGAGGTTTTTGAGCTTCGTGGGGTCTTCAACTGGTTCAGACGTTCTTTGATCGCTTTTGTACAAATAACTTCCGGAAAAACAATCAACAGGTAACGTTAATATCATACTTTTTTTTAAGTGTTTGAGGAATAATAGGCTAAAGGTGTCACTCACATCCTCCCTTTTTTTCTTCTGTCAGTGTATAAATATTTAACATAAACTTTATAAATAGTATTTAATTTGTGCTTACAAAATAATGTGATTTTCAAAATTTTGCTGTGGGATGTTATTTTGGAAAATTTTTTAAGTAATTAATTCCTGTTTTTGTTGTTGAAAAGAAAGTTACACTTTACATGTCAGTTGGTTTTAAATGCCTCTTTCACCAGTATACAATGTAGGTGTCTCTGCTACAGCTTTTTTTTTTCTAATTAAGTTCAAGAATGGTGGTCTCACATTTGTTAAGTATTAGCTATTTTATAAGGTGGATGATCATTAAGGATGTACATAAGATTTCATATTTAACAGCAGAGATTGAGAGAGAAATCTTTACGTAATAGAGTTTTTCTTTAGGAGATGTGTCTTTTGCATTGTTGAAGGTAATATTTTCGGTATTATTAGTTCAGGTACTAGAAAAACTGAATCCAAGTGATGAAAGTGTTGCTATCGTAATAGATGCAAATTTTTTTATAGCTACTTGTGTGAAATGTATTCTATTCCTGGGCTTGAAGAAAACATTGAATACACAATTATACCTTTTATTTGTCCATAAACCTTGCTATTTCAATTAGGTTTGTATGGTTATTACTAGAAATATATTATCTTGTCACTAATAACAGTTGTATAAAACTTCAATAGATTATCTTGTCACTAATAACAGGTGTATAAAACTTCAATAGATTATCTTGTCACTAAGGGTATGTAATACATCAATATGTACTTACCTGTCTACATCATACAGACGATGTAATACATCAATATTTACTTACCTGTCTACATCATACAGACGATGTAATACATCAATATTTACTTACCTGTCTACATCATACAAGGGATGTAATACATCATTATTTACTTACCTGTCTACATCATACAGGGGATGTAATACATCAATGTGTACTTACCTGTCTACATCATACAGACGATGTAATACATCAATATTTACTTACCTGTCTACATCATACAGACGATGTAATACATCAATATTTACTTAC